TCTGTCTGTCTGTCTGTCTGTCTGTTAGCTTCTTCATAGGCTGAGGTTCTCAACTGTAGTTTTTTCACCTGTGCATAAATCCAGCACTTTCTAAGTGGATAGTTCTTACATGATATTTGGATAGTTCTTACATGATATGATAATACACTGAGTTATGTGTAAGTTTATAAACACTCTGCCCAAAGGCAGTCCACATTTTGGACTTGAGTATTATTAACAGAACCTGTGGATTTACATTAGCAGCACTTATCATGCAAAAGGGACCCACAAGTCAAAGCATCAGATTTTGCTTATAGATACCTTATCTAATAAAGTGCAAAAGGGGAAGTGGGAGCCACATTTGCGCATCTTTATATAGTACAGCAATATTCAAGCAAGACATGGGACGAAAGCCTTCTGTCACTTTCAGACACCTCTGGGTCAGGTTTGGATGAGGCTTTGTAATGTTTTGCAATGTTTTGTAGCAGTGCCTCAGAACTTTGATGTGATGATGAACACAGCCAATTGAGCTAAGTCCAGCTATCCATTTTAGCTTTGACCTTTCAATTCTGGCCTTTAGCTTAATGAAGAATGTAATCACTAAAGCGCTCCCTATTCCAGAGCTTGTCAAGTAGTACTGGTGGGGAATCTAAAGCACAGGAAGGGCAGAGTTGTATGCAAGACAAGAGAGAACTAAACTAAGGTGGAATGCAGACTGGTCATTTGTTTTTGTCTCCAGGGGCAGAAAACCCAGCTGTCAGAACTGCCCACCTCATTCCATTATTAGTATTATTTTGGATCAAACTGTCAGTAGCATTTTGTATTGCTAAAAATATTTGCACTATTGACTGGTCGAGTCTTCTACATCTACACCTCGGAGGTATCACCAACACTTTCAGTGTTTTAAAAGGCATTTTCAGAAGTATTTAATTTTGTTATGGACCAATAACATATCACTATAATTTTTTAAAAAAATAATTAAACTACCTCACACAGTTTTTATCTACCAAAGTCTCCCTATGGGGAGAAAGGTGGCATATAGATCATTGAAAGAAAGAAAGAAAGAAATAGTAATAGTAAATGTACTATTTATTAAGCACATTATAGACAAGTTATCTAGACACCAAACGGGCATGGATATTCATTCATTCATTCATTCATTTATACCCCGCCTATCTGGTCAATATGACCCTCCTTTTCATAGTACTCTGGAACTATATATCTTGCCCAAAGCCACACAGGTGGCAAGCCATGGAACTCCATCAGGGTTTGACTCTTTCCTAGATGGCACAGTAGGGATTGAACCTTCTGGCCCTTGGCTCTACAGCCATGCACACCAGCCCACTGAGATAAAGCCCCAACAGAGAAAGACAGCATTGTACAATAAATAGGTGATGTGGAATAGCTGCAGAAGACCAACCCCATGTGCTTATGTTCTGCATAATGACCACTAAGTCTCATTTTCATTACATTATATTTAAAGATATGAAACCTTTCAGTAATCATATTGTTTCTTTGTGGGATTTTTGTTTTTCCTTTGCAGCTGAGAACCTTTGTAAGAAAAACAATGGTGGCTGTCATAAGAATGCAAAATGTATACAAACAGGTGTGAAGATCAATTGCACATGTCAGAAAGGGTACACAGGAGATGGCCATGCCTGCATTGCTGTCAACCCTTGTGCTGATGGACTCAATGGTGGATGTGATGAACATGCTACCTGTACAATGACAGGGCCTGTAAGTGTTGTGTTTTTCACTACTTAGACACCAGTTCCCTGGAGGATATATGGAGGATGTTATTCCAATGGCATCTGTCCTCACTTGTAAGTGAACAGATGCTACATAACTGAGAGAGAGCAGGAGGAAAACAAAGATGCATTGGAAAACCGACCTTCTTGGCCATTTTCACCAGCTATTCAGGCTGCACAGCCCACATATTTCTTATTTTACTAAAGTACTTGAGCCACACCTTTTAATACATTTGATCTACAACATGTCTGGGGAACCTTTGGCCATCTGGGTGTTGCTGAATTAAACTACCACAATGTAACACAACTAGTCTCCCCTGATTTTGGAAGTCTAGCAGGGTTAGACCTAGTTGGCAGCTGGCTAGAACAGTAATTAATACCAGATCACCAGACAGAGAAATGAACTTTGCTTTAAACCCCAGAGAGATGCTCCCAGCCCGAGTTGACAATACTGGGCTTTATGACCCAGTGTCCTCAATATAAGGCCGCTCCCCTTGTTTCTATCTTCCTAATGTTCATGATGTCTCATTAGTAGCCATAATGGCTTTGGCTGATGGGAGTTGAAATCTAGCAGCATGTGGCAGATCAGAGATGCCCCACATCTGGTTTACAGGGTGTCTTATACATTTATCTTGAAAAATATGTTACAAGTATCTCCTTCTGCTAGGCAGCTGTAATAGAAAATTATAGCATTCTGGATTGAAAGTGTGTGTGTGTGTGTGTGATTGAAATTGTGTTTGTGTGTGTTCTGCAGGAAATGGAAATGCTGAAATTTTTTGCTACCTTTTAAATACAATCCATGTGAATGCTCAATTGAGTGATCATTTATTTGGTAGTTATGTGTGATCCTGGTAAACATTAAAACTTTATATTTATCCATATGAATGTATGCCTTGACATTTGTTCTGACTAAAAATGAATAATATGATTGACATGCTCAGTTCCAATTTCCAAAATGCCTTAGTGTGCAAAACATTATTTAGTCACCATCACAGTAAGTTCCTTATGCTGTTAGACCACAGTCAACAGAGGTAGCAGGTATACAATAGTCCATGTACTCATTTGCAAAGTTTTCTTGACCCGGCAGAATAACATTTATGTTAATTCCTAGAATATACATACCTTCCATATAAGATCTCTTCCTTAACTTACTCAGACCCCATATGCATATTTATTGATTGATTTATTCAGTCAGTCAGTCAGTCAGTTATTCACTGACACACATTAAAGTGAAATACTGTAGACCAATATTTTCATTTTATAAAACTGCTATGGGCACACATGTACATCGTAATGGTACCCTGAATAATAATTATTTCCTTTGGATTGTTGTACATTTATCCTCTTGTGACCTAGACTTTCAGAAGGAGACTATGGCTGCTACCTAGTCACATTATTAGGGCTTCCTGTTAGTCGTGAGAACTTGAAGCCTGACAGACAGACTTTAAATGGATGTTATTCTGAATGTTATGAAATGCATCTCAATATTGGCATGCTTCTGTACTTTGTCCATTTAGCTATACTGAAAATTTTCTTTCTAGGATAAGCGTAAGTGTGAATGCCATGATAACTATATTGGTGATGGAATTAACTGTGAGGTGGAAAAGCTACCTGTGGACAGATGTTCGCAGAACAACGGGCAATGCCATGCTGACGCTAACTGTGCTGATCTTCATTTCCAAGGTCAGTACTTCAGAAACAGATGCACAGTTATAGTGATTATGAAGAGCAAAAAAGGAAGGGATGTGCGATTTCAGCCTTGTATGCAGATTTTTCAAAATATTATGGCAGCCCTACTCTGTTCTAAATTACTTTGGTCACTTAGAGCTCCCCTCAGACTAAAACAGCTAAGGAGGAGGCAAGATTGCTTCCTGTGCCCACTAGATGTTATCAGAGGTCTTGGTGAGGGCAAGAAAGACTTTAATTTGGAAAAATTCTAGTATGAGGGGTCTTAGCTGGGCTGTGAGCACTCAAGAACTGAACTTGGTCCATAGGGGGCACATATAGGTTGCAGGTTGTACAACTCGCTCCTTGCAGTAAAGTACCAGAGTATCACCTTGTTAACTCTTGAAAACATGACTGGGGAAACCATAAGGGGCCCGATCTGATTACTTCTACTGTTCCTTCCAGATTGTGAAGCAACAGGTGGCCATCTCTATGCTACCTGATCCAAGATTAAAAAAAATTCATAAAATATTTACAGAATCTGTGTGTCATCAAAAACAGTGAAAATGTTGTTTCATCACATCTTCAGCAACTGGTTTGCTGCCTGAGATAAGGAAAAAACTGATGCCCCCTCCCAGTCTATGCACAGAACAGCTTGGATTCACATAGCTGAATTGTTTGTTTGTTTGCTTTGAGAACCAGAAATAGAACAGTGTCCTTCACTGCAGCCACTAGCCTAGCCTAAAAGGCCCAGGACAGGCCAATATAGTACACAGCTCTCCTTGCAGCACCTTGTTGCTATCTCTCCGCACCCGCTATCTGAGACAACAGCCTCTGTCTGTCTCATGGTGACTTCATTTAAAATCATTCCTTCCTCCCAACTTTCTATGAATCACCAGGTCACTTCTAAAAATGGTTGCTCTTTTGTCCTTGCAGATCTTACTGTAGGCGTTTTTCATGTTCGTTCTCCAAAAGGACAGTACAAGTTGACTTTCCAGCAAGCAAATCAGACCTGTGCAGATGAAGGAGCAACAATAGCTACATACAATCAGCTCTTATATGCTCAGAAGGTAATGTGATCGCTTCTTATTGTGCACAAAAGAGATCTTGCATTGGAAGCAATATTACGTGTGACTCGGAATTTGAACACTGAGGCTTAGGTGCTTAAAGGATAGGTTTAAAGTACAAGCACCACTATGTAATTTGCTTAGTGCAAAGTAAGAGAAATTCCTAACGAAAATATAAATGTATAATACTTTCAATTGTTTATTGCCACAACCTATAAAAGATTTTACACATATTTTGGCCTCCTCTCTCCAGTCCAGGACACATCTAAGTCAGCCTATCACTATGCACCAGTCCAGATAAGTTATGAATCAGTTTTACCCACTCCAGTAAATGCACAAGCTTGCAGCAAGAGAACTTTACATTAGTACATTTTTGGCTCTGTTGCATTAAATACATTCATGGCTCAGGAAGTGAGTCTGACCCATTCTATGGCTGGGCATCTGAAACACGTAGATAGGCTCCTCAAAGCCTCAGTGGTATGAACAGTGTGTTGCACCGTGCTATTGTGGATATAGGATTGTTTGCTTTGCAAATGAAGAAGTTATTTGTGCTTGCTTACCAAATTCTTCTCCTGGCTTGCAATCTACAGCTTGGATAGACAGGATGTCCATGAGATCCTAGAACAGTGGTTCTTAACCTTTGATGTTTTTGAACTGCAACTCCCAGAAACCCCAGCCAGCACATCTAGAAGATTCTTTCCCAAATAACACGTTCCCATATGCAGCAATGCAGTGCTGTATCGGCAGCAAAAGCTAACACTCTGCCTAGGACCCGGGGATTGGCCTGGACTGTCTACCAGTGCTAGCTTAATGACACTGCTTGTACTTTTACAGAAATTTTAAAGATTCTTCTTGGTTTTTAGTCTGTGGGCAATATAATGTCAGGTCATCTTATCAGGTCATATATGAAACCTAGCAGAAAACCAGTATTTCACAAAGGTTATAGCGTGGGTTTCTCCTCATCATCTTTACATTCGATAAAGCTCTTCACTGCACTGAACTAAAGCTGATTGTATCATTAAGCAAAGTGAATTGGACTCCTCAGATATAAAATCTTTGATGCCATGAAAGTTAAGGAAATTATTAATAATTTATTTTGTTATTGTTGCATTTGCCAAGGGTAGAAAGAGGTACTTATGTGATTGTCTGCCTCAAGTCCTAAAACAACTTGGTGTTTATTTACTATCCATTTTGAGTGGGGTGTGGTTATTTTGCTGTGCCTCAGGCAATAAGGTGCCTGGAAACAATCTACTTCCAATCGAAAACCACGACCTGCTTTCCTTTTGTACTATCAATATATTATTTATATGCCAATCACAGGCAATGTATCATCTGTGTTCTGCTGGCTGGCTGGCTAATGGAAGGGTAGGCTATCCAACGGCCTTCTCTGCCCCGAAATGTGGTGGGGGAGCTGTCGGGATTATTGACTATGGGGTCCGAGACAACGTGAGTGAAACCTGGGACGTCTTCTGTTACAGAGTCAAAGGTAGAAATTCTTTAATTGAGTGTTATTAGATAAAAACATAGTTCATTTCCACAGTTCATTTCCTACTAGATTTGAGTTGTCACATGAGCAGACTTTGGAAAACATGTCTTTTTGGACTATAGCTTCCAGAAATCCACAGCTGACATGTTATCTGGGGGTATTTATTTATTTATTTATTTATTTTTGGAAAACATGTCTTTTTGGACTACAGCTTCCAGAAATCCACAGCTGACATGTTCTCTGAGGATACAGGTAAATTTAACTTTTCTGAGCTCTGCAGAACAGTTGCCATCTTGGCAGACCCATTGTTGAGATTGCCCTCAAGAGTTGTAAGTGTTGCAGAAAATGATGGAAGTGAATGGAATGAGATTGTGTCATTTTCCACTTGTTGACAAATCCTATTGCCTCCTCCCCTACATTCACATGTCTGAACAAATCATGTTCATTCATTCCGGGCCTCCCTCGGCGTTAGGCTCCTCAGCCTCAGCGTTCCGCCAAGTATCGAGGTCCTAAACTGTACAGGTAAAAGTACCTTTTCTGAGCTCTGCAGAACAGTTGCCATCTTGGCAGACCCATTGTTGAGATTGCCCTCAAGAGTTGTAAGTGTTGCAGAAAATGATGGAAGTGAATGGAATGAGATTGTGTCATTTTCCACTTGTTGACAAATCCTATTGCCTCCTCCCCTACATTCACATGTCTGAACAAAATGTGAGGCTGAGAATGAGTCCCATTCATTGCCTGTGTCACTATCACAAGAGCTCAGGAACTGCTCCATGAGGTGAATCACTGTACTATAGGCAACCAGCTCTTTTTTTTAAAAAAAAACCCTATAATTACTACATACACATTGGACCCATGCCCCCTTCACCCTTTAGACTAGGTGGTCAGAAGTATCAAGTTATACCCCTTTTCACCCCATACCTCTCAAAAACACATTGATTTTTTTGCTAGCATATAGCCTTTCCCCTTCAACACCCCTTTTCACCCCATACCTCTCAAAAAAACATTGATTCTTTTGCTAGCATATAGCCTTTCCCCTTCAAAAAAACATGCTTCAAGTATGAATTCCTTACATCTTTAAAATCATTAGACTTTACAATTCCTCTTCTTATTTTCATTTCACATGTTAACTTATCATTGATTGCTAAGCTCCACATTTATTTATACCAGTCTTCAAGATTTAGTTTAATTTGTTTGTCACTTTAATTTGTTTGTCTCTTTTCCAGTTCTTTGCAAATATTAATCTTGCTACTGTAACCATTATAACAATTAACTCTTTCTGTTCTTTTTAAAGACGATCATTCTGAATTATATTTAGGAGAAAGATAATTGGTGATATCTGAATATCATATCAAATAATTTATCTAATTTCTTTAAGATTTAGTTTAATTTGTTTGTCACTTTAATTTGTTTGTCTCTTTTCCAGTTCTTTGCAAATATTAATCTTGCTACTGTAACCATTATAACAATTAACTCTTTCTGTTCTTTTTAAAGACGATCATTCTGAATTATATTTAGGAGAAAGATAATTGGTGATATCTGAATATCATATCAAATAATTTATCTAATTTCTTTAAAAACCAATGTAATAGCATATCAAATAATTTATCTAATTTCTTTAAAAACCAATGCCCATTCTTTCTTTCTTATTTCACATGTCCACCACATATGTATATAGGTCCCTTTTTCCATCTCCAGCATTGACAAGTTTTTATTCATTATATTCAATCTCACTGGAGTAAAATACCATCTCCATGGTGCCTTATAACATTGTTCTTAGGCAACCAGTTCTCAGTGAAGTATTTTTAGGCTGTGGATTGGCCATGCCCCCACATGCTAGGTGCTGGATCTTTCAGGACAAGAAGGGATCTTTTGAGCCTTGCTTGCTTGAGTTCTGGTGTATTCTTATATCCATGGTTCTTCTTCAGTCCTGTCCTTTGATGGCTCCTGAGCAGGCAGGACTTTTGGCATAAGATGCCCCCTAGTTTGGTCTAAAAACGGTTGGAGGAGGTTGTAGACCAAAGCAGAGGGGCATGTGGCTGGTTCCAGTGCTCCGAGGTAATTTCAGACCAAGGACAGGGGAATAATTTTTCAGTTCACATTCTAATGCTATATACGTAATTTCACATTTTTTTAAAAAGTTGATACTGAAATTTTTATTATCCTCCAAAGTTTGCAGTTTAAATAACTGGAGTTCTCTGATTAAAATGTTCTGTGGGGGGAAATGTGCATATTAATGTGCTGCACATTAATTTACAATATGACATACTGTCAAATATTAGTGGATACCACTGAGCAATGATTACCCTTTCTAAATAGGCTCTTGTGATTTTAAAACAACTTTGCTTTTTACAGTTGCAGGCATTGCAAGGATAGATATCTGTCCACTGCTTAGTTTACTATCTAAATTACACTCTTTTAAAACATCTTACAGATGTCAACTGCACCTGTAAAACTGGTTATGTGGGTAACGGATTTATATGTAGTGGGAACCTGCTTCAAGTCATTGTTTCTTTCCCAACACTTGAAAACTTTGTCTCGGTAAGTAACAGAAAGACTCAGTTTTATTTTTTTAAAAAAACTCTGCATCCTTCCAACAGCATCTGGAGATCCACATTCTCCACCTCCACATTTCTGATTTCATGATACAGCCAACTTACCATGTTCACTATATGTTTTGGAGTTTCTTAGGAGAACAAGGCATTATTCACTTTCATAATATCCTCTCACAACAGTAAATCCTGTCTCTTCACAGAAGGTCCAGCTTTATTCAAATACCTCAAGAAAAGGCCAGGAGTTCCTTAAATACCTCACAAATTTATCCATTAATGCAACACTGTTTGTACCAAACAATGATGGGCTGAAGAAAAATGAGGTAAAGAACAAATACTCTATTATTTATTGCCAATTCTAAAAAAAGACATTGGCAGTAACAAACTATAAGGAATTTGGTTTCTTGTTTGTTTTGTTTTGTTTTGGCTAATGGGTTTGAATTGAGGTTACATTTCAAAAGTAATGTAGGTGGTGGTTCTGCGGACATAGGAATCAGGAAGGCTGACAAGAAAGGAATGTAGTCCTCTATCTATTGAGGTTTTCCTTCCTTCTTCTGCTGCATAAATTCCTTCACCTTGGCCTTAAACTTCACCTCTGTCTTACCTTCACTATGTACCATGCAATCTTTATTTTTTCCTGCTGAGTTTGTTTCTGTGTTATCTAATATTCACTCACCGATAGTCTCTGTGACTGCCTCATCTGAACTACATGCTTTTGGGCTCTTCCAACTGGCTGCTTGAAGGCCATTCACTTCTATGGGAAAACACATTCTGCACTTAGGGACAGTTTTGTGGAAGGAGAGAACCCAGCCTGCATCTCCAGTACTGCATCATCTGGTGTCTTGTGGATACCCAGTGCTTGTTAAGCCAGGCATCATGATCCCCTTTGTATACTTCCCCACAAGAAGAAATTATTCTGGAAAAAGAATGCTGGTGTGTGTTTTTTTGTTGTTGTTTTTTAAGTAGCGGATGAGGTCTCTTAAGGTTTCTTAATCTCCCACCCTCTTAGAATTTTGGTTCTGCCATGTATTTTGTGGAAAACTTTGGGATCAAGAAAACCTTTTAAAGATTGACTGTTCAAAACTGGGTTGCATAATAGGATTACTGCTAATGCACATTATCTAGAAAAATCTTTATGAAACATGTTAATTTTGTTAAACGGTACCCCTGTGTATAATTGAGATTTCTCACTGCTTTCAGTCACTGTCTGGAAGAGATATTGAGTATCATTTATCTAACATTGGCACATTCTATTATGAAGATATGACCAACGGAACCACTCTTCAAACTAGAATAGGGAAAAGGCTATTAATTACGCACAATGGAGACCAAGACTACCACGTTTCTTCCATTAAAAAGGTTTGTGATTTGTTCAGAAATGTTTATGTTTACATAGGCACGTGCCCAACGAATACATATCTATACATGGTGTAGTTGTGTTCCATACCAATTACTACTGATACAACTAAGTTGCTCACATCAGTACTGGTTCACATGATTCTTTCCTCTCAAAAAAGTGGGGGAATCATATGAACAGGACTTCCACGTTTGTTCATATAAAGGAGCTGTTTTAGACATGTTGCTGTTTATATGGGGGTGGGGGAGGGGAGGGCTTTTTGCTGCTCCTTTCCAACATGAATTGAACACTGCCTCGAATAAATCTCTTAGGCGGAACACAACCAGTTTTCCTGTTGCCAATCCCTGGGCACATCTCCGCATTAAAGATTTCAGCTGGGCTGGTGATTATTTCTACTCAAAGAGCCTACAATAGGATTTACTTTGGTTGGAATGTCATAGGATATTCGCAAAACTACCAAGACATTTAAAGCATCATGAAATTGACCTAATCTTATAATGGAGATTATGTTCTATATGCTGATCATAGCACACTTGGGAGCAAATCCTTAAGCTTGATCCACTACTGTTCATCAAGAAATCATCACCATTGTTCCCAAAGACATAAAGAAAAAAAATTAGAACATGAAAGCAGAATTCTGGCCAAAAGGTATTATTTTGTTTTCTGAGGTGGTATTAATAATTAGACATCCTTCAGCCTCAAGAGACTATGGTAACATGCTCTGAATAGAGGTCTTGGAGCAGCATCTAGTGTGGCTGAGAAGGCCAATTCGAGAGTGACAATCCCTTCCAAACTGAAGACAAATACAATCTGTCCCCTGTCCAGCTCCCTGATTTGGCTGGTTTCGGGACTGCCTCTTTGCCTCGGCCTCCTGGACAAGGGTCTCTTCAAATTGGGAGAGGCCGTGATGCACCACCTGCCTCCAGGCTGAAAGCTCAGATGTCAAGTTTTCCCATCTGTTGAGGTCCATTCCTAAGGCCTTTAGATCCCGCTTACAGATATCCTTGTATTGCAGCTGTGGTCTCCCTCTGGGGCGCTCTCCCTGCACTAATTCTCCATACAGGTGATCTTTTGGAATCTGACCATCAGCCATTCTCATGACATGCCCAGGCCAATGTAGATGTCATTTTTCAGTAATGCATACACGCTAAAAATTCCAGCTCGTTCTAGGACTATGAACTTTGTCCTGCCAGAGCAACACATATGGAACATGTTCAACTTCCTCTCCTGCCATGCACAAAGGGTCCAGGACTCACTGCAGAACAGGAGAGTACTCAGGAGACAGGCTATATAGACCTGGATCTTGGTATATGCCATCAGCTTCTTATTAAACAATACTCTCTTTGTGAGTCTAGAGAACATGGTAGCTGAGGTGGTATATTCATGATATATTCAGATGACACTAATCTTACGTGTAGATTCATTGAGACTCTTGTGCCCTGATGGCCATTGCTCTATTTCTCCTTCTTAAGTTTGACAATAGTAGAAAATGCAGTGCTTCATTTCATAGTAAATGAATGGGAAGGTATTGTTTTGTGCTGTTATGACCAACATGGGTCAGGGGGACTCATCTTTGCTTCCTTCATTTTACATGCCTTTTTTTCCCCCTGAATGGAGAAACCTAGAGTCTGGGATTTCATCTTTGGGATGAGTGCAATACAGTATATATAAGCATTGATCTGTATTACACTAAGGGCGTTTTTTAAAAAACGGGTGTTGAAATGGTCAATACATTGCTATTCATTTGTTCCAGAATATTATTTCAGCTATATTTTACAGGAAATACACGTATCAAATAAGTCAAAATATGGTGGCCTGTAGTTTTCAGTACCATTCCATACAATATAGAAATCCAAAAAGTTCACACACAAATCTCAGAATTTTAGACATTTGGCAGCTTGGATACTTGCAAGTATAATAACAGCAAATATACCATATCTGGATCAAGTAAATAAAATGACTCATTGAAATGGAAATAATGCAACATTAGCTCCACAGGTGATTATATCTATTTAGAACTAAAATGTAGCTGAAGTAAGCTTCCTTGTAGAAGAGATTAATTCCTTCCTCAGCCAGCTACATCCAGTTTTTCCAGCCAAAGAAGACTATTTCTTGGGCTGATGCCAAACCAGGGGGGTGAATTCTTTAACAAGGAGTAGAAATCATATGAGAAGGATCTAAGCACGAGAAATAAATTCCAGCATTGTTTCAGGGAGAAAGGTCATATAAGGTATTCATCAAGTTACGAGTGTTGTTCTTTTCTTTTAAGACGGAAACAAAATATGTGGATGGAAAGGCTATTCTTGAGTGGGACATTGTTGCTTCTAATGGCGTCATCCATGTAATTGCAGCACCTCTGAAAGCCCCTCCTGTCCCCCCGGTAAGTTTCATGAATGTCAAAATGGCTGACGTTTTTACTCCCTTGTTCACCCACAGGCAACATATCCGTATTATGGGTTTTTTAAGACGTTTAAAAAGTAAAATGCATTCTGCTAATTATCAATGATCACTCACGGCTAACTAAACTAAATGGCAGCTAGTTGGAAGCTCTCTCTCTGTATATATCTGTTTGCTTTGTATAAAAGACGCATCTACTGTCATTTCACATATTGGCTCTGTAAAACCTCTTTTTATGTACAGTGGTGCCTCGCTAGATGATGATAATCCATTCCACTGAAACCGCTGTTTAGCTAAATCATTGTCTAGCGAAAAGCATTTCCCCATTGGAATGCATCGAAAACTGTTTAATGTGTTCCAATGGGGAAGAATCATCATTGTCTAGTGAAGATCGGCAATAGGAAAGCCACTTTGCGAACCGCCGATCAGCTGTTTAAATAGCTGTCTTGCGAAGCTTAGGCCCCGAAAACACCCGTTTTGCAAGCACGGAGGGAGTTGTCAAAATCGTTGTCTAGCGAAAATTGGTTTGTCAAGCAGGGACCAAACATTGTCCAGCGAAATTGCTCTCTCTCTATATATATGTGTGTGCTCTGTATAAAAGATGCATCTGCTGTCATTTCACATATTGGCTCTGCAAGAGCTCTTTTTATGTATACCCATATGAGCCTAAAACCACCAATTTCAAAGATTATTTCATGATATATAACTGAATTGCCTCTAGCTAGAGATCAGTGAATAATCTGTATTTCTGCGATTCAAACCCAGGTCTCCTGAATCCTAGTCTCTCACTCAGTCTACATGATCCTAAAACCACCAATTTCAAAGATTATTTCATGATATATAACTGAATTGCCTCTAGCTAGAGATCAGTGAATAATCTGTATTTCTGCGATTCAAACCCAGGTCTCCTGAATCCTAGTCTCTCACTCAGTCTACACTAATCAATGTTATTTCCCCAAGGCATAATTCAAACCCAGAATCTCCTGAATCCTCATCTCTCACTCAGTCTACACACTAATCAATGTTATTTCCCCAAGGCATACAACTTCTACATAACCTTTCATTAAAAAAAACCTCTCACACACATACGCAAAAATGCATTTATTTTCATATGCAACTTTTTCTAATATAAACATTTTTGCATGTTATGTGCCCTAATACAATTTTTGTGCATAGTTTCCTCTAATACATGCATTACTTCATGCAATTTTTGAGCAAATAACTACTGGAAAATTCAGAGAAGAGTATAAATAGGATAACTGTTTTGATCAACTTATTACTCCAGGAAATGAATTAAGTAGGTTCTGTTTAAAAGGCAGAGCAAATGAAGTTCTATCCATCCCTAGCTCTACGTTGTAAAAGCTTTAAGAGTTTATCTTATTTGTAAGATAACACATCTTTTATTATTTTTGCTACAAAGGGACTCATCTGGTTATCCCTTTAGAATTCATTTAATTGAACATTTTTATATATATAGCCTACTCATTAGCCTCTATCCTCTCTACTCAGACTCTACATCCTGCAGTTGGAACAGGAATATTCTTTGTAATCCTTCTGGTAGTTGGAATTATTGCTCTTGCTAGCTATTCATACTTCAGATTCAAGCAAGGAACCATTGGCTTCCAACGTTTCAAGGTAAGAAAGAGCTTTATAGCTACTATTACCATAAATGGATTTGTACACCAACAGTATATACAGTGTGACTCAAAATTGGGAAGCTGAAAAGGGTGGGCAGGTGTTCTGATTGCTGTCATCAAATGTCCCATTTCTGATTAGACTGGCCCATATTCCTCACCATTGCTGGCTATGATTGATGGGAGTTGCAGCCCAACAATACTGTATCTGGAGTTTTCAACTTTGCCCACCTCCCCCATATATGTCATAACTTTGATTTTGGACTATACTGTAGTTATTTGGCTGGACTAGATATCATTTTTTTTTCCTGCTCATCTAGAAAACTGGAAGCAATTTCAGAAAGAATGCACAATCACACTCAACTTTTTTCTGGTAAACAGAAATAGATTCAACACCCTGCAGAAGCTACTTAACTGGAGACAATAGTGGGACAGTATTGTACATTATGGGAAGCATTGCCTTGCTCCGCTTCCTTAGAAAGCATTGAATCTTTAATCCAGTGCTATCCTGTCTCTTATTGTTTTTAATAAAAGACTAAACCATATAATTTCATAATAAACAAGTACATGGCCAGAGTTAATACAATTTTAGCCTGCATTCTGATGAGGCTTGAAAATTGGCAAGAGCATTGCAGTCTACAGAAAAATATCTGTGATCATGTCAATAGCTCTGACCCTAATCCATTTATACTCCTTCTCAATCTCCAAACAGGAACAGCAGAAGGAAATTAAGCATGGCCTTGCCTGTGAGAGATATCTGAGCAAATAGATAGGAAGGAGACCTGTCTCTCAAAACTTACACTGAAAAATGGAAACATGTAGTAAAGGATGTTAGAGGATGTGTATTTTTAATCCTTGATGAGAAAGGTTGTCTCGATACACTGAGCGACTTCTTCAAAAGAAATGGACAACTATTTTTTGGTACTCTATAGCATTCTGGGGCTGGGGGCGGGAGACCAATCATGCTTTTTTCATGAAAACAAGAGTTTTATTTTAAAAATTGTGAATTTTGTTCAGAATCAAAGGGGTTTTTGTGGAGATTTTTTTAATTCACCAGAAAATTGCTGAAATGTGAAAACACATTTGACATTCTCATAATATCACCCTGTGGGAGGGAAATATTTATTTTAGCTTGAAAGGCTGAAATAAGTAAAGATTTACATCTGTATATGCACATAAAAAGAGCACATTCTTCCACTCTGCCGTTTCCCTTACCCTCCTTGATAATGACATTGGAATTATTCAGACACAGGATACTTCAAACATGAACTCCCTACTTGTGCATTGTCAACATATCCCCAAGCTTAACATCTATTGCATCATCAGAAAATGTCACAGAATATCAGCCTATGCTTTGTGTAAACTGTAATTTTGATAAGTGGATGAATTAAAAACCATGATTTGAGCTAAAACCATGAGCCTGAAGATTAAAAAAAAAAAATCTGAATTTCTTAAAGTGTACCAAAAAACCCTAATATATTTTATTTTTTAAAAAAAAAAAAAAACAACCCAGGGAAAAGATGATATTGATGTAACTGCACTGGACAAGGCCCAGTCTTCAAACATCTCAAATCCTAACTATGAAGATTCAGCAACAGTAGATGCTTCTCGAGATCCAATTTCAGTAAGTTCGATCCATTAGGAACTGTGACTTAGCCATTGTTGGCCCTCCCCTGCAGGGCATTTTTGCCCCACTGCTGTTTTTGCAGGCAGAGGGATAGGTCAAGCCTTCAGAACACATTTGAAAATGTCTGTATCTGTTTACCTTTTGTTCTCCCTTTACCTCTTTTAATTACTACTTTGTACCTTATAATGACAGTATTGTAACTTAATATTCAAAAGCCATATACACATGCTGAATATAAATTTTAAAACACAGATTTCTGATGAACAGCAGCTGGTGAGCGGTGATCCCAGTGAGGCATTCTGATCCCCTGAAAGGCATCATCAAATACACAAACTGTCAGCTGGAATATAGCATGAAGATACAAGGCAGCGTAAAAATATTTCTGCTTCCAAAAAAGGACCTTTGAAGCTTATGGAAAATTCTTGACCCTGAAGGTGGCTTGGTTTGCTTGGAAACCTCTTTAACCACTTAACTGTAGCATTCTCTCCTTTTCTAAGATCAAAATCTTAAGAAACCATTGCTCACATCCTGCTTGAGGACGTTCCACATGCATCTGTTTGGCCACATGGGGAATAGTGTGATGGAACTTTGTAAACCCAGCAGGGCTCCTCTTAAGCTTCTGCAGGATTGACTTCTGCTTTCTTACCTCATGGTGTATTGCCTAGATGGGTGGGCAGTGAGTAATCTTCTCTAAAGTTCTCATATACTATAGAAGCAGCTGGTGCTACACCATTTTAGCAAAATATTGTTTATTTCAAGATGACCCACGATGATTGGCTTGATCCAGAACTGGCATTGTAGAGACCAGACGTAACATTTCTACTTAAAAACACAAACATCCTGAGTGTAAGGTATTAGTAGAACAGATCAGGCATATGGATGCATTGCAATCGTCTAATGTTACAGGGATGCATGTGCATGCCTTTTTGCCAGAAAAGAAATAAAATTGCAACAAAACGATACTGAAAAACATACCTGTCTACTAGGCAACAGTCTAGTAAAGATGTGGTGCCACTACAACAAACAAGTGTGCATTCAAGCAGACATTACATGAACGTATTTTAAACTAAGATTTCTTTGAAAGGAACTCTCAGGTTCATACAAAAACATCTTAGGGCTTGCTAATAAGCCTTAAGTTAATCAGTGATACCTCTGGAGAGAAACATTAACAATTTCCCTCAAGTTTATAATTTCCTAAGTGGTTATAGTCCAGGGGGCACTCAGTTGCAAATCTTCTCATTATCGATCCTAGCCATTCATAAGAAACTAATTGATATGTACTGCTCCCATTCTTCTTGCAGTCCTTTTGCAATTGTCCTTATAAGGAAACCACCAACTGTAAGCTTGCTTTACATGTTTCCCATCATTTCCTTTCAAATACATATTGCTTATTTGCTCTAAGGCACGTTGCTCTGTTCTTGATCACTCAGAGTGCAGGACATGTAATATTGGGCTCAAGCTACAGGAAGCCAAATTAAAGCTGAATATCAGGGGGAAAAACTCTTAACTGTTAGAGCAGTACAACAATGGAACCAATTACCTCAGAAGGTGGTGAGCACTCCAGTGCTGGATGCATTCAAGAGAAAATTGGACAACCATCCGTCAGATCTGCTTTGATTTGGATTCCTGCATTGAGTAAGGGGTTTTTTTGGATGGGCCCCTTCACAACTCAATTATTCTATGATATGATTCTATTTCCACTATAAGAATTTGGTTCCAATAATGTTGACTTATTAAAAAACAAAATAAAAACAACCAACCTTGTGTTATGACTTCCACCTGAGTTAAAATATTAATATGACATGACATTTATTGATATGTAGGTTAACAACACTGTATCACTATACAGTCATCTTTCTGAGTACAAAATGCTTGTTTTATGAGAAATTTCATCCGATGTACCAGATTTTCAATTTGGGCCTTTCAATTTGTCAAGAAAGAAACCAACCAATTCATTTATGTTGTTCAAATAAACTACCCTGCCAAAAAGTCCACTGGCACAATACTGAGGAAATTACAAGGGGCAAATATCTCAACTCAGAAGTGAATATATTTGTTTAAAGTTACATCAGAGCAGCAACACCAAAACAGAAAATTAATAGTCTTAATGTTTATTATCAACATTAATTTGCAACTAATTGCAGAGCGTGTGGTTTTGCCTGTCACTTCTCATGCAGAACATTTTTACAACATACCAAAGTATGCAGCAGCAACCAACACCATATAATAAATTTACTTTAGAAAAAGAAATCAAGTTTTTATTCTTCACAGAAATGCTTTTCTACAAAGTTCCAACATTGGCAGTGTGTTGAGACTGAACATACACACACAATGATGCTGCATAATATATATGTTAATTCATATTTGTGATCCTTTAAAGATTTTTACAGTATGTTGTATTGTCTGAATGCATACCCAATTCCTCCTTCAACAAGAACAATATTCAAAAGGCCATTAGGACTGACTTTTTGTATTTCAAGTAATGTTACATTTCCTTTTGGGCTTTATTAGCCATCATTTCTGTCTCCAAAGATTTTTCCATTTTAAGCTGTTTGCTTTTAAATAAACAAGGAGCAGATATTAAGACTATTTTGACACAGCGTTGCCACAAACTCAGCAGGCTTTTATTCTATCTAGCAAACAGCATTGTTATAATATTCAGCGGAAGTCATGCACTGCATGTCAAATATAAAATTTATAAGCATACACCCCAACAATACTGAAAAACAGATCCCTCAGCATACCACCACCACCACATTATTTGGCCAGCATTTCAGAGAACTAAGAAGAAGGGCTGAGTAAACAGAAGAGGAACATTCTGGTATAATGCCAAGGGATTATAACAAGGGATTATGAAAATGTTTGGTATTACAGTAGAATGATTCACTAGGATTGACTATGTCACCTGTATAGGAAGCACTACTCTTAATGAAACGAGGTTCAAAATATTCGTCCCTCCTAATATTTGCAACGGTCAAACTGGTTACACATTCTTTCATTATCATATTTACTACATGATTTATGTGGGCTAAGATCACCCAAGGACAACAAACAAGAAAATAAATGTTGTCAAAGCAAGAAAAGATTCAGTGGTTTGGTTAGAGTCGCTCCCTACACAAAGGGGTTTTAAGCCTGTAAAACCATGGGTTTCAAGGCAAAAAGAAAGCCAGGGAAAACTTCAGCTTAGCTCTACTTTGAATTCTGTGTCAAAAAGACGAACTCTTGGGCAGGATGGAATCATGCCAGCAGACTATTCTCAATTGTGCAGCACACCATCAAGAAACAATGCCAACTGCAAATTCCCACACACATAGAAATGCTTACAAAATTTGAAAACATATATTTACCTGACCAGCATTTCAGGGGCCAAAGTATTCCCTAGAAATAAGAGTAATTGTTGCTATATTTTAAAAAGTTCAGCAACGTACATGAAGAATATTTTAAAATTATTTTAAGGAATGATACATTTATTGAGCTCTATCTGAACTGTGATGCCTATGTTAAAAGTGTTATGGCCCATCAGTTTAAGCACTTTAGGACCTAGAACAATTCAGTTATTGATGTCAGTTTTCTGCAGTCTTCAAATAGCTGGCAATAAAGAAAGGAAAGTTCTTAGAAATCTACTATTCCAAGCTATTCTTCCATACAAACCCTAATTAGATAAAAAAGGGTCTTATGTAAGGAGGAGAATAGAATGGAATTTGCACCAGATCTAAAAAACATGCATTCTTTTTAAGACATTCTGAAATGTAGCTTTATTAAACATCTTTTAAAGCTTACATTCTTGAGGAAACATACAGAGGACTGAGCTATGTTAATATTTAACTGTACTGTATATATTAAGAGCACATGACCCTAGAGCAAGGCATTCAGTAATGTGAAAGGGTTTGACAATTTGGAGGAAACTCTTCTTTTAAAAAGTCTTGGTATTTTCACTGCCAGCAGGACTGTGGAATTGCTTTCTAAAACTTCTTTTAAATTACTGATTGATGATAAGAAGGCACATTTAGAACATTCACTGTGTGTACATGTACCTACTCAGAAGCAATTCCCATTCAATTCAGCAGGGTTTACTACTGGGTCAACAGGTACAGCATTTCATTCTTATTAAACAGTGGCAATTTTTGTGTACCACAGACACAAACTCTATGGTGCTTTAACACCCCTGAATTTGACCATGTTAGCCTTAAAAAGTTACTTTTTTTGGACCACAACTCTCAGAAATCGTTAACAAGCACAGTAATGTTTCCATGTTCTGGCAATATGTATGACTAAAAGTAAAGTGCTGAGTGCTCTAAGGTTTACATTTTTGCTAAATATTCCTATGTACTACTAGATTTTAATATTACAGTCTGTTAAGATATGAGAGAGGTATTGAAATTTGAGCTTTCTGTTTCTGTAGTGTGGAAGTCTATGCTAAACTTAGGTAAAATAGATTTCCTCTTTATTATACCACTTTTATCAATTTTAACTTCCAATTATTTACCTTCTTTTGTCAACTGGCAACATCCACCATCCTTCTGTACCTTAGAGTAACACAAACTGCCAGCAACGTTTTACACGTTCGTTAAATTGGTTTTTTTGTTTGTTTGGCCAGAATAGGATTATTTCATAGCTGTAAGAAACAGATGCCCTAATTTATACATTTGACCCTGAACCAGCTTGTGTACAATCAGTTGCACAGCAACTAATGGTCCAAGGTGAAAATGTGCATCTCATCTGCACAAGATACACCCATAGCTGCATGGAGCACACATGAGCATTGCAACATGGCTGTCCATTCCAAAGTACATCTGGGAAATACCCATTTCCCATTCTTAAATTGGTACATTCATTTCGGGTTTGGCAAGGACTGCATATATTCCATTTTCTACCAACTACCGAGGGGGAAAAGAGTATACATCAGAACTTTTTTTTTCTATGTCTCCAGAACTTCTGTAAATTTGACATCTTGTTCCCCCACATGGCAGAAAAATAGTTACACTTTCAACTAATTGAAATTCAAATCCAAAGCAATGTTCTTCGTATGACAGTATACAAGAAAAATGTATACAGGAATGCTTTATAACCTCTAGAAAAGAGGAGACTTGAATTTTTTTTTTCATGGAAATATAATCTTTCCTTCCAACAAATATTCAGCTGTGGGGAAAGCTCTATTTTCTCTCAGTGCAATCACGTCCCATCAACTCTCACCAAAAGAAGAAGAGACAAGACCAGCTAAATAGACTCATTTGCTCTGTAGGCATATAAGGATGTGTTACAACTACTACTGAAGAAACCGTTGTTCCTAAAGATACATTTATGTCATAGTAAATACACTTTGCTTTACTGAGCCATTGAAAGAGAAGAATGATAAAGATTTGACATTACAAAAAGTATATGGCAGGTCTGGAGAAGAACACTTATTTAATCTGAATCATCTCTTGCAGAAATGGTATTCTGAATGTACCCGTGCACAGCTGGTCTGACCAGGTTGGAAGTTCATGCTGCAGAGGAGTTCTCCTTGGATAAAATGTATAATCGTGCTCATAGTTCAACAGGCAGCTCAAAGATGCCATGTAAATATCAGCAAACCGAGACAAGCGTCTTAAGAAATAGGTTTGGTTCTGGTCGGTCCTGAACAAGCTTCCAAACTGAGAATTGAAGAAATTCCTAGTCATTTCCCTAAAGGGAAGAAAAGGGAAAAAGGAATTTTTAGAATTGCCCATTAACTATTGTTTATCCTTCAATTAACTACTTTCCAGCTTATTTAAAACTGGTATACTTGTTGAAAACACCACTAACAGGGTTATAGTGGAACCACGGCCTGTAGGGGTGATGCATAATAAACATCTAACTAACTGGGATGGTGATGTCATCTCTGAGCTTAGCATATTTCCCTTGTCCTTCTAGGCTTACCTGCCATCCACACTATACATGAAGATGGGACAGCTTTTCTAAGCAAGGATGTATAGTTATGGACTATCTTATTTATTACTTGGGAGTGATCTGCTCTTGAATTAAGACCAATCGGTTTCACAGAAGACCTGCTGTTGATGCAAATAAGAACTATGACACACACATTAGCTTTATTAACCCCTTTTTCTATGCGTTCTCCTTCCCTACCCATTGAACACTCTTTTACTCCCACTTGGAAGAGCATCTCTGGTAGCCAATAATCAATGCATTCCCTTAATGCATTTGTGAAAGAAAGCAAAAATAAGGAGCACACTACACATGGATGATTGTACATATGATCTTTTCCCTTCAAGTTAAGTTTAATAATCTTAGTCTTTAAAGGCACTCTCTCTCATAGGACTGAGTCAAAAGAAAACAAACAACTGAAATGGAAAAGGTTGAAACAGAAGCTCAAGTCCATCATTTCAGAGAAAAATCTTCAAAAAAACACTCAGGAACCTTTAAAGAACCAGAAATGCTTGACCCATATTAATCTGGTCATTTATTTTCTCATTGTCCTTCAAGGACGATTTAACATTCTGGTTTAAAACATTGCCAGTTAAAGTATTCTAAGATTTATTTTAGGTTCATAAGTTTCAAGAGTTGGACGTCCTGAGAAACAATTACTTCCATTATGCTTAAAAATTCTGAAGTGTAAGAGGATGACTAATCCCTTATAATAAAGACAATATGCCAACATTTAGATCAGGTCTTTTATTTCTTCTAGTTTTCCGTCCCCAAGTTAGTCTGATCACCTTAGTCTTAAAGGGGACTCTCTCTCTCACACACACACACACTCTCTCTCTCTTTCTCATGGCATTTCATTTGAATCAAAGGAAGAGAAATGTGTTGTTTCCTTTATTTTACCCTATTACTGCCTAACAAAGGAAGGAGTGGATAGAGATTGTATGGGAAACCTCTTGTGCAGATTTCCAAAACAAAATATATATGGAGAAGGAGGGAAGACTATATTCTGAGGCTAGCCCAAGTACGACATTGACAATGATCCTCAAACACAAACTCAAATCTCATTCCTGAGACATACAGTTCCAATTAACATTATTGCAAACATTGTTTTCTATTTCCCCAAATTCTCTATCTCCCACGATCAGCACTGATTTTTGATCATGTAAACAAAACTACAGCAAGTGATGACTGCTTTATTTATTTATTTTATTTTATTTT